CCTGCATGGTGGCCTTAGAGAGCTGAGGAATCATGCTGGCATCTGGAGGCCTGGTCCCCAACTCTCCCCCTTGGGAATTGCAGGGGGCAGGAGTAAGTTCTCATGCCACAGACAAGGAGATTGGACTCTTAGAGTCCAAGAGAGGAGGACCTCAGTGTCTGTATTCTGGGGTTCCTCACTTGGCCCACTGCAAAGCTCATCCTCTGACTCCACCCCTTCTTCCCAGACGTCAGGCAGAACAGTGACTCCTAGAAATCCCTTTGAACTGCAGACACGTGGTCTTCCCTGCCCCGCAACTGCAGCTGCACTATAGGCAGCCTGCATCCTGGAGCACAGCCTCCTCCCAGCCTCTGGGAAAACCTGTTTCGCAGTGTTCCAGGTCACCTTGCTTGAATCTTTGCAGATTCCCCCGTGCAGTTTACAGCACAGCTCCTGGCTCTGGTGGCTTTGGTGGATGTCGATCTTTTTCAGGTGGCCTTGGTGATCAGGCAGCTTTGCAGATCTACAACCCCGGGTTCCTCCTGAGCGCCCACCTCGTGTTTCCTAACAATCCACCCCATCTGTTTGTGTTCCAGCCCAGTGTTGAGCTGAAATGGCTCAAGCCTGATGTTCCATGATCCCAAATCCCGACGGGCGTGCACAGGCTGCTGCTGTGTGGAGAGCCGGGAGACAAGGCATTCCCTCTGCCTGGATGTGTGGGAACTCCCTGCCAACTTGATTGGTGGATCTGGGGGGGATCCACCCCCGCCCCACGAGGAAAGCACCGTCTACTGGGTGGGTGGGGCTCCAGGTGCCAGCTAGCTGAAGAATGGCCACGCCTGTGGTCACCAAGACGGCCTGGAAGCTGCGTGAGTGGTTTTCTTTTTTTTTAACTCATTTACCCTAGAAGCCATTTGTTGCTGGGTTGCTTGGTCTCCAAGTAAGATAGACCAAAGATGCAAATCATGACTGTGCCCCTTCTTTGCTGGGTGACATTGGGCAAGAGTCTTAACCTCTCTGAGACTGAATTTCCTCATCTGAAAATAAGATAGACATATCTGTGTTCTAGAGTTGCTGTGAGGGTCAGGTGAGGTAATGAACGGAAGGCACTTAGCACAGGAACTTGCGCTTACGACAGCCTTTGTTAGTATACTTTTCATTAATATACTTGTTTTTTCAGGGGCCAAAAGATTTCCAGTTAGACTGACAGATAGGATGGGGTGAGAAATCTGGACACATGTTCTCGGGCATTTTCAGATGTCTCCCAGTCAGGCCTCCCCGCTAGAGGCATGTTGTGGTGATTAGCTGAGCCGGGAATAATCAGGGTTGGGCAAAGGGGTGCTGATGGGCCCTGGAATGTAACCTAGGCCCACCCCCACTGGTCCTCTGCACTGTTGTTGTTAGGTGCTGTCAAGCGGATTTTCAGCTCATAGCAACCCAGTGTGACAGAGCAGAGCTGCCCAGAGGGTTTTTTAGGCTGTAATCTTTAGGGAGCAGGTTGCCAGGTCTTGTCTCCCTTGGAACCACTGGGTGAGTTCAAACTGCCATCCTTTTGGTTAGCAGCCGAGTGCGTAGTTAATGAGCCACCAGGGCTTCTTTCCTCTGTACCAGTGGCTCTCACGCTCTCTGATCTTAAGACCATTTTATGCTCTTAAAACAATTGGGACACTCATAAAGAGCTGGGACCCTTAGGACTTAACTCATACGTGGGCTCTATCTATCAGTATTTACAGTGTTAGAAATTAATACTGAGAAATTTTAAAGCGGAGGAATACACAGACGTGTGTTCAGTGAGGATGACATCACACCCCATTAGCCCCTGGAAAACGCCACTGTGTGTTGGTAAGAGGGTGAGAGTGCAGAAGGCAGATGGCGTCTCGGTTTTGCAGAGTCCTTTCAGTAGTATTGGGAAGATGCGCTCGTTCTCCTGGAAATAGAAGGGTCTGCAGGACCCCAAGGGCCCCCAGACCATGTTTGGAGAGCTGCTCCTCTCACATTGTCATCTCTGTGGCCCTATCTGACCTCGCCTGGAAGAATTGGCTGGCATAGATTTGGTATGCTCACATCTCCAGGCCCAGTTAGCACCAGGGCTGTGGTGAGCTGCTCGTGGGTGGTTTTCAGGAGCCCTGGGTTGGCTGGTGAGGTCTGCAGAGGCCCACGTCCCTGGACTCTATCCCAAGGTCAAGCCTCTGGAGTGTTGAAGTGGTACCTGACGGGTGAATTGAATCCGGCATCTGCTGAGGCTTTCGTTTGCACAGCTGTTTTCATGGGTGCAGACCGTCTGAAGAGCCCACAGCTGAACGACCCCTGGCTCCCCACTGAGTCAGCGTGCTGGATCAGCATGGCGCCTTTGAAGCCCAGGACTGTGCCCCAGTGGTTTGGGTTGCAGGTCTCAGTGCCTCTGGCTAGAAAGCCCAGTGTTCCCCAACTCCAGCAGGGATATGGAGCCCACCTTCGAGCCATTGCGGCTTGGCAAACTTGCAGGAGAGTGGCCTGGGCCCTTCCAGAAGGGCTCAACCTCTAAAGCCCTCTCAACCTAACATCTGAGGTTCTTTACGCTAGAGGCCCCTTTACGCTAGATGAACCTGGAGCAGGAGGGTTCATCCCCCACCGCCTCTCCAGTGCCAGGCCCAGAGCAAGCCCTCAGGAAATACTTACATTCTAAATGAACCACATTTGCAGTGGGCAGAAGCTCTTGACCATATCTGTAGCCAGAACACCCCAGGCATCTGTCCTTACGGGGTCTAGAGGACAAAAGGCTCCGTGGGTGAGAGGAGGCCTCGAGAGGGCCCAGCTCCCTTGAACCGCAGTTGCAGATCTCTGAGATCCCAACTGGGGCTGGGTGCTGCCTTGAGGTGGGGAGCCTTCTGTGAGGTTGAGCCTGGGCCTAGTCCCTGGGCATTTGTGAGAGCCCCTTTGAGACAGGTGGGGCTGGTTCACCACTTCCTGTGTTCGGACGCCTGCACCACAGAGTCATCATGCGGGGTGGAGTCTGGAGCTAGGGTGCAGGAATGGCCTCCTGTGGAGCACCTGCAACACCCTTTTCCTTACATCACCCAAGCCAGCCTCCCAGTTGCCCCAGGGTCCAGCACACTCTCTGCCTGTGTGGGAAGACCTGTCTTTTCTCCTCCCTATTCCAAGGAGGAGCTCCCTCAGGGACTGGCTCAGAGGCTTTGCTCGCCTGGTGGTTCCTTGCCCTCTGAGGTTGATGTCTGTTGTCCTCACTGTGTCCCAGGCCAGGGACCCTCACAGCTCCCACAAGGACCCCCATCTCCCACTCATCTGTCAGCCCTCATCCTCTGCCACCTCACCCTAGACCCTCAGTCCACTGTCCCCTTCCCGTTCTTCCCATGCCCACCTATGGCCTCAGGGCCCACTGGCTCCTTTAGCAGCTAGATGTCAGTCTGCTGACCAACTGCAGGGCAGCCTCTCCTGACTCAGTAAACCAAATCTACATTCTGGGGAGTCCTCAACAGCCCGTGAGCTAGTGCTGCTATCATCCCCATTGAATAGATGAGGAATCTGGTGCTCAGAGAGGATGAGTGACTTGTCTAAGGTCACACATTTAGCAGCGGCAGAACCCAGACGCAGACTCTATGAGTCTGTGGGCTGAAGCCCTGTGCAGCCTCACCTGGTGACAATTTGTCTGGAGTTGTCATGAGTGCTTCTTACAGTGTATTTGCCAAACCAAGGTTTGTGTGGCACCTGACAGGGGCTTAGGTGGTACATGGTGCATTTATTTATTTACTTTTATATAGTAGGAAAAGTGTAATGAACACATCAAACTTGTGATTTCACTGATATTATTGCTTAAGACAAAGCTAAATGAAAATGTGAAGTCCATAATAAAAGAAAAATCAGTAAGTATATACATCAGTAATATATTATTATTTTACCAGTTAACGTGCAGAAAAAGAAAATAAATTGGGAGCCTCATGGGGCAGAAGTGACTCGAGTTGAGAGACGGTCATTTCCGCCTCAGGCCCGAGCCCTGTCCTGTCAGCGGGTCAGGGGCTCCTGAGGCAGGGTGGGACCCCCCACCAGGCTGTGGGTGCTAGAGCTGGAAGCCAAGCAGGGCAAGGTCCCACCAAGCCCCTGACTGCGTCTCCCTGTCTTCTCTCCTGTGTAGAAGAAATTGTCGCCCACGCCAGCAATGTGTCCTCACTGGTGCTGGGCAAAGGCTCCGGGCGGCTGCTGGCTACCGGTGGGGATGACTGTCGTGTCAACCTGTGGTCCATCAACAAGCCCAACTGCATCATGGTGAGCCTTGCCGGCCAAGGGTGACGATGGGGGGGAGGGGTAGAGGGGGTCTTGGGCAAGGGCCCAGGAGGGGACTGCACAGGTTTTATCGCACCCAGGACATTGTATCATCTGGGGGCCCAGCCAGAGACCATAAGGGGGACACAGCACAGTATCAGTGCCCCCTTCAGCGGTCTGCTCAGGAAGGCCCAGGATAACCTGGAAGGCTGGGCCAGCAGCTAGCCCTCAGGCACGGGGCAGTCACCTGGCAACAGGACAGGAGCTAGGAGTCTGCAGGAGGAAGTTAAAATAAGCCCCCAGGCCCATGGTTGAGCGACGAGGCTTGCGGCCTCCCACCCCGCGCCCCCAACACCATCTCTGGTCTGCCCACCTGTGAGTTCTGTGTGGGTATTTATTTTGCTGGTTCCATCCCCTACCTCATTCCACGAAGAGGGTCTGAGTGGACCTTGGTGGGGCTGGGCGGGGAGCTGGTTCTTCAGAGCATCCAAACCCAAGAAACCCACTGCCATTGAGTCACTTCCAACTCACAGTGACCTCCATTGGGTTTCCAAGGCTATGAATCTTTATGGAAGCAGACTGCCTCATCTCTCTTCCGTGGAGTAGCTGGTGGGTTCGAACCAATGACCTTTTGCTTGGCAGCACATGCCTTAACCACTACACCACCCCAGCTCCTTGTTAGGCAAGGAGGACATAATCAGTGCCCGAGACTTGGAAAACAGAAGAGGATTAGGAAGAATACCCACAGGAATAGATTAGTACTCTCGTAGCCTTTTTTTTTTTTTTTTTTT